CGAGGCGTGGCCTTGTGAGGTTAGCACATGGGACTGGGGCCGCTGGACATGCAACTGGCATGGGCGTGGTCGTTGCCATGCACGGGGCGGTTTCTTGTGAGGTTAGCCCGTGATGGTGGCGTGCTATGCAGTCCATGTGCGTGCGGTAGGCCTGTCCTTGAGGTATGGGCATTTCTTTGGATCTTACTTCTTCCTCTTAGCCCTTGGTGGCTCTTGATGACCTTGGAGAATTTTCAAAATATGCTCCTGGGTCCAATGAATCCGCCGCTTTTTGTTGAAGTAGGTTGAATCTTGGATTTTTTGACCAAATATGATAACATCAGAACGTCAAAGAATCAACTAAGAAGAGGATACCTAACCGGCATAATGAAAACCTTTGAGGACAGAGAAGAGAGCATCCCTCTTCCCTGTTTTCCTTAAGAATGTGGTTCATACGACAAGTTCCTTTCATCTCTTAAATTCATATTCTCCTTCATATTGCAATTAAAAAAATTAGAATCGTAGATGACAATTTTTCTTCTATTGCTCCATCAATGAAATTTTTGTTTCTTGTAAAAAATGAGTAAAAAGAAATCTTTGTTACTTACAAAGTTTTTTTTGTTTCTTGTAAAAAAATAAATAAAAAGAAATCTTTGTTACTTACAAAGTTATTTTGCTTCAAGCAGCTGACAGATTTTGGACTTTCAAAGGTTGGTCTTATCAACAGTACTGATGATTTATCTGGACCCGTTGCTAGTGGGACCACTCTTCTTGGGTATGATGAGCCTACAATGTCTGCTTCTGAGCATCAACAAGAAAGACGGAAGAAGCGTTCTGCTGTTGGCACACCAGACTATTTGGCTCCAGAAATACTATTAGGAACTGGACATGGTTCGTATAGACCTTTTTTCCTTTTTCGTTTTATTAAGGTGGTATTGTAATCTTCCTGTTGTCTTAAACTTTTTTTTTCCTTTCATTTATTTATCTTTTTTGAACTTAGCTCAACCTAAGGTAATGGTAAAACCTGAAGTGTGGTCAAGTTTTTCCTGTTTGTTTGTAGAACTATGGCATGGATTTAAATTCTAAGAATTTTGATTACAATTGCTAATTATTTACTTGTAATAAAAATGGCTTAGCTAGGGAATGACTCTAGTTTCTTCTTGTATGAATTTTTTTCTTGTTCTATCTGTAGGTGCCACAGCTGATTGGTGGTCTGTTGGGATCATTTTATTTGAACTAATTGTTGGCATCCCACCCTTCAATGCAGAGCATCCCCAGGTATAATTCTTGCTGTAAGATATGTTCTTCTTACTGTTTTTCCTCTTTTCAGTTGGATGTTTTCAGTTTCCAACAAGACCTTAGGGAAGGTCGGTCTTCTACTTATCACTCTTTTATTGGTTAGAACGAGATCTTCTAAAGGAAGTGTTTCTATAATTAAGGAAGTGTGGTGTTCCAGATTTATTGGTTGGGCGGCCCTAGATGAATCCTTTTTATGTGGAACGAATATCAGTGAAAGCTATTGAAGTGGTGAGAGGCTGCTTCTCTGTTTTAGTCTGGTTTGAGATAGATGGTAGATCGACAGGTAGCTAATAGGAGTGTGCGATCCTGTGTCTTATAGATGGAGAAGAGAATTCTGGAAAGAGCCTAGAGGCCTCCAATGGCTGTGTAATGATATTTGGTGCATTAGAGTTGATTTTAACGTCAGCAGAAGACGTGCGACAAATGCTCTAGCAATAGAATCACCAAAGTATGTAAGCTTTTAACAATTGGATGGAAGGTAGTAACCTCTTTGAAATAGTGTTGCATTTACGTCTGGTATGGTAAAGTGGATGTGTATCTATGAGTCTTTTGGATTTCTTCATGCCTAAGGATATAAAAAGGGCCTTTCAGACTTCCCTTCAACCTTTTCTTTGAAACTCTGCCTTTATATTTTCCTGGATCATAATAGTAAAGTTGTTGGGAACGTGAATCATTTTTGCCACCGAAGGATCATTAATACCAGGTATTTTGCATGATGTTCTTGGTTATGTCTCCATTTTAGATGGCATTTCTGACATGTGAAGGCATCCTTTCATCAGGATAAATACATGTTTTGTTGGTAGACCATTCATCTTCAAAAATCATCTAGATTCTCTTTATGTCAAGAGAATTCGATAAGTTTCTGGTGTCTAGAAATGGAGGGATTGAAGATATTCTATAACGCTGCATAAACTCAGATTTGCAATCATTTGAAATTCGATTGAAGATCTTTCATAAGGCCGCTTAACTTCTTAAACTCGTTTGCCTGGAAAGAATCGAGGCTTGGATCATTAATCTCAATTGAAGCAGGAAAAAATCCGCAAGAATTAATTTCTTCTTGAATAAATGCTTCAGTATAATCGATCGAGTAAGTTTCAAGGATTTTGATGAGATCCCCACTAATCCTCCAAAATGGCTTCCTGTAGCTTCAAAGCACTGACCACTAATGGGTCCAAAACTTCAGAGGTAAGTCTTGAATTGTTAACCATCCACCATATCCATAGATAACCTCATTTCTACTATGTTTCTTAAAATTCCATTTTTCTAACTTCAAGTTGAAGTTCCTATTTTCTTCCATTTCCCAGTGAGTTCCTTTTTGCTCAACACCCTACCATCATCAAACTTCATTAGGGCGTTGTCTGCCATGAATGCATTAATCAAACAGTTCAATTTTAAAGCAGATCTTCGAATTGTCAGCACAACATTTTGAGATTACCATCTTGATATTCACTTTATTTCCAACACCTCTGTTTTCTTTTTAACCCACTATTCAAAGATCTTTTCCTTCTTCACTGACATATCATTTGCATTCCTTTCTCACCTTTTTATTCTCTGCAACTTTGTCACCAAAGTTTGGAACTATTTTTGTAACATCTTTGGTCGGCTATGGTGTATGCCGCAGGACTTAGAAGAGGGTGGATGATGGAAGTTCACTTTGTGTTTTAAGGATAGAGCAAAAGTGCTTTAGTCCAATATTGTCAAGGCGTGATGTAGAAGGAAAGGAACGATAGAATTTTCTCTGATAAGCCCAATTCTTTTAAATAGTTTTGTGATCTTGTACAGTCTACAGCCTCTAATTGGAGTGATCAACACAAGTTGTTTTGTAATTAATCAGCTTATACCATCGGGCTAAATTGTAGGGCCTTCATGTAGTCTCTCTTTTGTGAGAAGAGACACCTTGTCCCTTTGTCCTTTTGGCTATTTCTACCTAGCTGACTTTTGGAATGAAAGGTGTCTTTGTGTCTAATAAAAAACAAGTCTTCCTTTTTGGTTTTTACCCTGTAATTGCTATTTAGACTACCCTTGTATCAATCCTTTGGAAGGAATAAAAAATTATTTTCTTATCATTGACAGAATGTTATATGTTTTTTTAATAGATATATTCTGCGGTTTTAATTCTACTCATATTTTGTACAGACTATATTTGATAACATTCTCAACCGTAAGATCCCTTGGCCTCAGATACTTGAAGAAATGAGCCCTGATGCTCAAGATTTAATTGATCGGTGAGAGAACCATTTTTTTTTAATTTGTTTTATTTTCCAATATATTCTTTTGGTTTCTTTTTTGATTCGATTTCTTGGAAATTTACATCACTAGCAAAGCTTGGGTGGCGGTCCCATTCTTCATATATATATATCATATATGTATATCAATGTATGTTGGAATATATATATAACATTTTCTATTTCTTTCTAGTAGGTCTCCTATTCCTTTTTGTAGTAGGTTTACTATTCCTTTTTTATAGTAGGTCTTTCTCCTACATAAGAATACCTAAGTTGCATTATTCAAATACATAAGAATTTTTTATTCTCTTAAATTTAACATGGTATCATGGTATCAGAGCAGGAGGTTCAAGTTTGTTCAAACCCATAAAATTCCAACATTTTTTTTTTCTTTTCCACCATGTTTAGCCTAACTTAAAAAGGAAAWAAAAATTCTAACTAATGCTTTGCGAGTTCAACCGGCCACCACAGCTGCCCAACATCTTGCCATAATTACGTTGTTGCCGACGCTGCCGGTGACTTTCTTTGGGCTCCTCAGGAGAAGCGTCTTCATCACTAGCCGTCGCCTGTCATTGAATATTTGCATTGCCTATGGGTCGTTTTTGTGTTGTGGTTATGGTTCGCGGATTTTGTGGCCATAGCTTCGTTGATCTTTGTGGATTATTGTAGCTCATCGCCGTCTGTCCACCGTCGGGTTACTTCGCCGCCGTCTATTTGTTGCTAGAGGTTGCTTCGCCATTCATGAGTTCGTTCATGCTCCGCTGCTCGAAACTTCGCCTTTCGTGGGTTCGGTGGTGTTCAGACACTATTGAGTTCGTCGTTGTAGTCTTCGTCGAGTCTATGCTGTAGTGCTACTGCTGTTTGACGTTGAGGACTTCTTCCTACCGTCGTGTGTTGTTCATAACTTGTTCAAACGCTGAGGTTCCTGTTCAGTTGCCGTCTATTCTGTGTGTGTTGTTCGTGACCTAATCTCACGGTAAGCTTCTTCTACGACTTCTGGTTCGGTTTGGTTCGATCGGGGTCTTTATTAGTTAGATTCAGTCTGATCTAGTTCCTTTCACTCCGGTCCTGTTCTGTTCTTGCTATATTGGTTCGGGTCTTATCATTACAGTTCTTGTTGGTCCACAATCTGGTTCGATTCAAAACTTGCTTTGGTTCACTTCTTTTTTGGTACTGTTCATTTATTTAAATATGACCCAAGTTTCGAATAAGAGCGCGCTCACATTTCCTTGGTATGGAGCAAATTCACAAACTTTTGAAATTGCAATCTACCAATTTACCTTTTAATACTTCTTGTGTATCCTCGGTACAAACAAGTACTCATCCTAAGACTTTTTCTTATAGTAACTCATCTTTGTGGATTATAGATTCTGGAGTGTCTTATCATATAACAAGTTCTTTTCATCTATTTAATGCATACACTCCTTAGTTTAATAAAAGAATTAGAATTGTAGATGACAGTTTTTCTTCTGTTGTAGAAAAAGGAACCATTAAATTGATTGAGACTATTTCTCTACACTCGACTTCATGTCCAAAATTAACCTGTAACCTTTTGCCTGTCAGCAATTTTTTTTGAAGATTTTAACTGTCGTATTACTTTCTTTAAATTTCATTGTATTTTTTAGAATCATAACTCGGAGAAGATTATTGGATTTGAAAGGATGCTTGATGGTCTCTACTACTTTGATAAAGGTTCTTTTAGTAGTAAAATATTTCAGGGTTTCAGTAGTATTCGTTCTCCCTCGGTTAAAGAACAAATTATGTTTTGGTATTTTAGGCTAGGGCATCCTAAGTTTTCCTATCTCAAACATTTATTTCCAATTCAAGGGAATTGATTGTTTCTTTTTTGATGGTGAGAGTTGCATTCTAGCAAAAGATCATCGTTCCACATATTCTTCAGAACCTTACACAACTTCCAAACCATTTTACTTAATTCATAGTGATGTTTGGGGTCTCTCTAAAATTTTTACTCAGTGAAAAAAGATGGTTTCTTACCTTATCTTGAGTTTATTTAATGACCAAAAAAAACTGAGGTGAAAGATATTTTTAACACTTTTACAATATGATTGAAATCCAATTTCAAACCTATGTATGAGAAAGCAGGAAATAAGGTTTGGTAACTGAGAAAAGCATTGTCTGGATTAAAGCAATCTCCTAAGGTGTGGTTTGGTAGATTTTCTTAGGTTACGAGGAAGATGGGCTACAAACAAAGTCAAAGAGATCATGCATTATTTACAAAATATTTTGATGCAGGCAGTGTTTTCAAAAGCCCACCCAGGTGCACGCCTAGGTGTTGGGTGTCACAACCATACTAGTAGAAAGTAGGTTGTGACGCCCACGTAGTGGACAAGTGGTGGCGGCACTCATATGTCACCCGTCGGGCCATGTTGAGGGCCCTGAGAGAAGTGCCGTGATGTGACCAAGGAGGATGGTGCATCACCTATTACACCCCAAGGATGTGCACAAGAATGTCTAGAGAAGGTATATGCAGAATGCAATGTGAAGGCGATGTCAGTGGTGTCAGTGACACGAGGGCCAGTTGGGGCCCCGGGCCATGACCCTAGAAGTTGGGGTTCCGTCGAGAGTTTGGATGAATGGCTTTAGATTTAGATGCATATTAGTGAGATATTGATGTAATTACCAATCATTAGTTTTATTAGTTATTAGTTAAAGGCTGAGGTTAGTTGGTTGGCTGTTATTAGTTAGTTGGTTGGCTGTTTTTAGTTAGTTGGTTGGTTGTTATTAGTTAGTTCTTGTTAAATGTCTTTAGCCCTCTTCGATAAAAGGGGTTGCTGTCTTCATTTGTTGAGTAGTTTTTCAATCAATAAAATTCTCTCATTTGGTTTACACCAGATATGCAAGCATGCCAAGTTTCGTGTCGATCGGAGTTTAGACGTGMGTTCTACGTTGGTGAGTGACTCCTCGCCACTTTGCACGTACACGCCTGCCAGACCAAGATTGCCTTAGAATGTATTATAGGGGGAGGCATGATGTTGGCTCTCCACCACCCTTGGGCCATTTAAGGGCCTAAGTGAGTTACCCCATGGCACATGCGTGTGTCATGGTGAGGGCGAGCGATTGCAAGACGAGTGTCTTGGGCGACTTCCTTTGAGGATAGAAAACTCGAGGACAGTGTCGGGTGGCACGGGTGTGCAGGCATTGTGCCTTGATCCATGTGTCGAAGGTTGTGCCACGGGGCCTTTATGCGGGACGGTATGCCCGAGTGAGATGGCACGGGTGCAAGAGTCGTCGTGTCTTGATAGTGTCTGGATGGATGATTGTTCGGAAGGCCCCGATCATAAATACGAACTCAGGTCGGTTCTCGGTAAGCGTGCCAAGTGAGCAGTGAAGCCCGATGACATCTTGATGCTCGGGGTGGCATCCTACAGTATCGGTGGGCACTCGGTAAGTGAGAAAAAGCTAGTATTGGCCCGGTAAGTGGCAAGACTCATCCCGATTGTCAAGTTTAGTCATTCCTTGTCTGGATCTCGGCAGTATCCTGTAAGGCCGTTTAGCCCGTTATTGACTAGTTTCTCGGCAGGAATGGTCTTAGAGACGTTTGATGGGCCCGATAAGCTAATTTTGACATAGTTAAATGGTAGAAATCTCCCTGTTGTGCCCGATTGGCATTTTAAGCTTGTTCTGACCCCGTCAAAGGTTAGAACTCATGCTGATAAAGTCCTGGCTCATCGTAGGAGAGGGACGGTCGAGTGGTGAGAACCAAGATGGTCAGAAATGAGTTGCGACGTTGCGTTTAGAAGACCTTGGCCTAGAGTAGAAGCAAGGTAGAGCTGTGGGGCATGGCCTAGTGTAGAGGCAAGCCGGCTAGAGTTACGATGGAGTTGAAATGCACGTACAGGCGACGTGCATTGCCGAGACAAGTCAGAATTCCGCATGCAAGTGAAGCTCGGTCGAGGAAGAAAGAACCCTCATCTAAGGTCCGACGAAGCCACAAAGGGCGCACAAAGTGTATTGGGGCTAGAGTTCCCCGTAAGGTTGGCCATGGTCGACGAAGCCACGGTTGAAAAAGGTACGACCATGACATTTGGTATCAGAGCCATTCTTTGTGCGTTTAGTCGGACAGTTCGGCAGGGCAGTTGCATCAGTCAGTATCAGAGGCAGTAGAAAGGGTGAAGCCGGAATTCTTGTGACTCAACGATGTCGTCAGTAGACATTCGATTGGGGAAGTCCATCCCGTCGTGAAGCAAGAACCAAGCTTATTTGCCAAAGTCTTGGGTGTTTTGTTGAACAAGAGAAGAAATTGAAGGCGAACCAGGTAGGGTGTCTTCGGAAAAGTTGTTACCATCAGAGGGATAGTGTCAATGGCTGCAAGTAGATAGATCGGGGGTCAATGTGACATGCGCCGGTCAAGTGCAAGAGATGCATCAAGTGAGTCTACAGATGGTAGACAGTGTGGCTGAATAGAGAGCCAGTTCGAAAAAGGAAGTAACTCGAGATAATGGATTGCTTGCTCCAAGTGGTGCTCAAGACGTGAGGACGTGTGTCCCTTAAGTTGATCTCAAGTGAGTAAACTAAGTTAGGTAAGGAAACTAAGTGAGTAAACTATTTTACTCTTACTCTTATGGATCTCAAATTTTATTTTACTCTTATGGATCTTGGGTTCTTCTTCCATGTTTTGCGAAACACGACAACCTAACCCGATCCAACCCGAAAATTTTGGGTTAGGTTGGCCATTCCATTTGGTTCTTTCGGTTCCTTAATCTGGCCAACCTGAAAATTCTGGTTGGTCCAAAAATCCCTTCTAACCCGACCCAACCCATTTTAAATAAATGAACACACTGACCAGAGTGCAACACCTAAACCAAACTGATCGTTGATTTGAACCAGATTAGACCCTGTACCGGCCGGATTGGACATTGGAATTAGCTTCGAATCTTAATGGACCCACTCATGAACCAAACCAAGAGTTGAACTGAATCGAGAATTGAACCGAATCGTACCGGACCGAACCAATCTTCAACCTTCCATCCAACGTGAAACCAGAAAACAAATGTCGCACAAACCATGAACACTAGACGTACACCTTCGATGGCGGAATCTGACTCGAATCGTGATCACCTGCAATGGAGGGTGGCGAGTTGTTGCACGGAAAATAGCCAAGCGGCAGTCAACGAAGGCACGGACACCCTCGAACGATGGAAATGCGAAACCAAAAATAAGAAATCAAACGGTGGAATCACGAATGGCTTGAACAACATGATCAAAGGATGCAAATGGTGGTGGCGGTAGTGACTAAGGTTCTGGTGGCAGTGATTAGGGTTTCAAGATTGTAGTGGCTAATGTTTTCGGTACAGGCTAAAATTAGTAGTAAAAATAAGGATTTTCTTGCTCGTATACCATATTAATTTTAAGAAAGTAAAAATATTATGTTATATTCAAATAGTGCAACTTAGGTCTTCTTATAGGAGAAATACTTACTATACAAAAGAATAGTAAACCTAATACAAAAAGGATTAGGAGACCTACTACAAGAAGGAAAGAAATGAAAACGAGAAATATTAAAAAGACAATTAATAAATATTTATATATATATATTCCAACAAAACCTTACTGTGATAACAAGTCTGCCGTCAGTAATGCACATAATTTTGTTCAACATGATGGAACAAAACATGTTGAAGTTGATAGACACTTCATAAAAGAGAAGTTAGTCGGCTGCCTCATATGTACTCCATTTGTACCGACCAATAATCAAGTAGTATATATTCTCATGAAAGGTTTGAACAACAATAGTTTCGAGCATTTGGTTAGCAACCAATACAATTATTTTCTTTTATTTTCCTATTTGCATTTAGGTTCTAATAGGTAAATACTTCCTTGTTCGGTAAGAGTTTCTTGTTTTAATAGGTAAGAGTTTCTTTTTCCTTTATTGATTCATCCCTGTAATTGCTATTTAGTCTACCTTATATCCATTGTTGATATCCATTGTTCGAAAGTAAGCCAGAATTATTTTTCTTAGCATTAACAATGTGTCCTATGCAAAAAAGGTGGTGAAGACCTAAAGCCTTTCTATCCACTGTCAGTACACTGAACTTGTTGGTTCTAAATCTTTAACATTTCCAATGTCATTTGGTCCTTGAGCTCGGGGATTTTGTTTTTTTCAAGCCAGAAGTGCTTTTTCTTTGTTTTTTGCATGGCTTTGCTACCAGCTTTTGGATTTTTATTAATTATATGTTGTTCGTTCTGTACTATGTATTCATTCACCATCAGGTTATTGACGGAAGATCCTCATCAACGGCTTGGAGCTAGAGGCGCATCTGAGGTAATTAGTGTTTTGATATGGACTWTTTACTTTTTGTGATGCTCATTTTCTCAGTGCCCTTGGATCTTTCATAGATGCTTAAATCATTGGAGCCAATTTATTACTCAGGTGAAGCAGCACATGTTCTTTAAAGATATTAACTGGGACACACTTGCCCGACAAAAGGTATTAAGCCAATTAAGTAGAAACTTAGGATGTAAGGTTTAGCTTCATTTTATGGATCTGTAAATTGATCATGCAATTTACACATTTTCACAGGCTGCATTTGTTCCAACATCTGAAAGTGCTCTTGATACTAGTTATTTTACAAGTCGCTACTCATGGAATCATTCTGATGATCAAGTCTATCCACCCAGCGAACTTGAGGATTCTAGTGATGCTGACAGCTTAAGTGGTAACAGTAGTTTGAGCAATCGTCAAGATGAAGTGGTAATTTAGTCATCTAATTTTAAACAAAGTTTGTTTTGAACCCCTTAAACTAATCCTAATTGTATTTTTTTTATTCTGGTGTCTTGGTACAATTCATAAACAGGGAGATGAATGTGGGGGCCTGACAGATTTTGAGCCTGGTTCTTCGGTCAATTACTCATTCAGTAATTTCTCTTTCAAGGTATTCACTAAAAAATTACTGTACAGTTTAGGATCAATTCCTAATTTTCCATTTATTTGTTTTAGTGCATTTGTATACTGTTTACCCAGTTAGTAATGGAACGTTCTTTACATTCATGTTATGTTCATCGCTTTTATATATTTTATTATTATTATTATTATTTCTTTTTTAAAATGTTTTTTTTTTAACAAGAAACGAACTTCTCATTGAAATAATGAAAAGGAACATAATGTTCAAAGATACAAACTCTCGAAAGAGTGAAACAAAATAAAAAACAAACTTTGTAAGGTACAATAAAAGCTTTCCAATTAGAACATATCAAACTAGGAGAATAGCTTCTAAAAATAGATGATAAGTAACACCATTGAGAAGCTTTGAACTCCGCTAGATTGAAACGCATCATGAAGTTTTTTTTTTTTTTTAACAAGATACGAACTTTTCATTGATAAATGAAAATGAACAAAATTGTTCAAAGATACAAACTCCCATAGGAGTGAGGATACAGGAAATAAGTAAAAGTAAGCATTAGAAGAAATAAAAACCATAAACTTAAAGAAACCTCCTTAAAGGGGAGTTATAAGAGCCTCCCAATTCATACAAAGTATACTAGGAGAATAAGAAGAGAAGAGATCGGAACGAACACACCATTGGGAGCTTTGAATTTGGCGATTGAGAAACACTCCATAGGAAATCGATTCTTGCCTTATTCGTTGATTTCTCTCAAACCACAGTTCGAAAAGAAGAGCTTTTATTCCAAAAAGCCCAAAGCAGATTAGTTTTAGAGCTTGCTTGTAGCCCACTGAAAAGCTGAAAAATGATTTGAGGCACCTCCAGATCCCACACCCATGAAACTTCAAACATAGATAGGAATATTTTCCAACAGACCACTGCATAGCTACATGAGAAGAAGACATGCCTTTGGGTTTCCCCACTTGCTTTGCACAGTAAACAACATGATGGCTGCATCAAAGAATTGAGCATTTTTTTGTAATGTCTCTGAAGTGTTAACTTTGCCCATTAGAAGAATCCAAACCATGAAATTAACTGTCTTTGGACAAAAAAGGTTCCATAGAATAGGTAGTACGTCCTTAGAAAAATTAGAAACCGAATGCCGGAATTTGCTCAACGATCAAACTGAAAATAAACCCGAAGCTTCTAAACTCCATACTCGATGATCTTCTGAATCAGTGATGGAGGTTGAAGAAAGCAAGGATAAAAGATTTGCCAATTCAATAACTTCATTATCCTTCAATGATCGCCTAGTTGGCAGCCTCCAAGAATAACCAGTGTTATACCAAGCATCCGCAACTACAACGGACGGATTAGAAGAGATCCTAAAGATAGCTGGAAATCTATCTTTGAGCGAAAAATCTCCCATCCATCGATGATGCCAAAACAGATATCTTTTGCCATTCCCGATTTTTAAATGGGAAAATGATTCCACTTGCTTCCATACCTTGGATATATTCCTCCATGGGCTTCTACCTGAATCTGTCAACTTAGTCAAAGTGCACCAATCACCAAAATCAGAATCATGAATACTAGCCACCACCAGCCTCCACAAATTTGAGGATTCAACACGAACCGCCACCCCCACTTGGCAAGCAAAGCTCGGTTTCTTTTAGCAAAATCCCCTATGCCAAGGCCACCTTCCTCTCGATCTAAAGAAGATATGTCCCACCTCACTAAGTGATTTACTGAACCTTTCAAAGAATCTCCCCAAAGAAAGGATCTAACACTTTTCTCCATTATTTTGTAAATTCGCATAGGAACCTTGAATAGAGAAAAGTAATATAATGGAAGATGTTCAAGAACTGATTGACAAAGGGTCAACCTTCCACCTCTCGAAAGTTGATATCTCTTCCATCGATCTAGCTTCTTTGTTGTCTTGTCAAGAATGGGACTCCAAGTTTGTCTCCTTTCTTCGAAAATTTTGAGATTCCTTTCTTACCACAACTCGTATGGAATTGCCTTTATAGCATTGAGCCAAAGAAGGTTGACTTTGGTATTAAAGGCTGGCCCGAGAAGAAGCTGAAGGATATTGTCAACCGTTATGCTTCCGAAAACCCAAGACAAGTTAAACTCTTCAAGGAGTAGTTCCCGGCACTGTTGAGCAAAAGGACATAGGAAGAATATGTGAACCGAACATTCATCATTGGATTGACAAAGAGGGCAGATTGAAGGCAAGAGAAAGTGACCAGACAACTTCCTTTGTAAAGTGTCTGCTGTATTAACCTTTCCATACACAAGAATCCAAGTGAAAAAGTTCACTTTCTTTGGGCTCTTGGTCTTCCAAATAGCTCTAAATAAATCTGAAGGCACAGGTGCTTCTGAGGAGGATTTGTGTATGGAGGCTATTGAGAAACAACCAAAGATATCCAAAGACCATACCCTGCTATCTGATCCGTCGATAGGAGAGCATGAGAGTATAAGTGACAGCATATAGATATTTTCCTCAATCTCGTCGTCCTTCAATGACCGACGAGAAGGAATTTTAAAATGTTAAACGAATTTTTATTGATATATGAAAAAGAACAAAAATTGTTCAAACATATAAACTCCCAAAGGAGTGACAAGGGATGAAAAAGAAAGTAAAAAAAAAAATACAATCAATCAACGATACTAAAATGGAGATAAAAACATCTCAATTAGAACAAATCATACTAGAAGAATAATTCRAGAATAAATCGAAGGGAGCACACATTGAGAAGCTTTGAACTAAGTGATGTTGAAGCAATCCAACAGAGAACGACATTTCCCTTTAAAAATCCTCCGATTTCTTTTGAACCATAGTTCATATAAAAGGTGTTAAATTATATTTTATTTTATTTTAAAGGTTTCCTTTTTATTTAGGTTAGGGTTTTCTTGTTCTAATACGTAAGTGTTTCCTTATCCTAATAGACAAGAATTTCTTTTTAGTTTCTTCTTTGTGACTGTTATTTATATAGCCTTGTATCAATCATTTGAAGTAATCAAGTAAGAATTATTTTCTTTTCTTATCAATTAACATGGTATCAGAGCTCTAGGTTTCCTCTAAAAGTTTTGTGTCAATTAGGGTTTTATGCCCATTAGGATTTTGTAGCCATTAGGGTTTGAAGTTTTGAACACTTTTTTGCAAGTGTTCATTGTACCTAACCCACTGCAGTACCGCCGCCGCCGACGCTGCCCTATTCGTGGATTTCCATTTGCTGGCGGGTTCGTTTGTGATTTGTAAATCGGGGTGCTGTCTTATCGTGCTGCTCGTCGTCGTTCACACTTCCGTCGTCGTCAGTCGCCGCCAGCGTAGTCGCCCGTTAGCCGCCACCGGTAGTTGCCCCCGCCCCCGGTCGCCGTTCGGTGTGTTGCCAGCTGCTCAGTGTGGTTGTCGTGAGCATCTCTGTTAGGGTTTCTGCTTCAGAAAATTTGATGGTTCGGTCGGCCCGGTTCAATCAACTCGGTTCGGTTTTTAATAGTTCGGTTCAATTAATCCGGTTCAACCAGATCGGCAGTTGGTTCGATTCTCTCAGTTTGGTTTAGTCTGGTTCGGCTCCTTTAGGCTCGGTTCAATTCGTTGTTGGGCTGGTTCAGTGCTTTTCGGTCCGGTTCAATTCATTATCGGTTCGTTTCGACAGGTTTCGGTTCGTTTCAGTCAGATTTGGTTCGGTTTGACATATTTTGGTACAATTCAACTGGTTTTGATTCGGTTCAGCCCTCTTTCGATTCGGTTCCATGCTGATTTTTCAGTTTTGTGCGTGGATCTCCATTTTTGAGTTGCTGTTTAGTCTTGGTATTAATGTCACAATCATCCAAAATTACAAAAAAGTTGGACATACATGAGATCAAACAATTAAGGAGCTTTGTTAAAACTTTGGATAATGCTCCTAGTCAAGGTACAGGTGCGTTAACTTTGACGAGTGCAACCTCTCAGCCTAAACGTTATACCTGGATTATTGATTTTGGTGCAACATACCATATGACGAATAGTAGCTGTCATTTTATCTCTTATAGTATTTGGTAACAGTGGCTGGTCAAGGAGACATCAAGAAAAATTCAAACATTACTTTAAAGAATGTGCTTCATACCACGTTTAACTGTTAATTTGATCTCGGTAAAGAATTTGATCAAAGATTTAGGTTGCAAAGTAATTTTTTCTGATTCTTCTTGTATTTTGCAGGACCCGAGCAATGGGAAGATTATTGGACTTGCTAATGAAAAAGATGGACTTTATTATCTTAATGAACTTGTCAGTCGGACTAGTGTTTCAGTCTCCTTCACCTCACAAACTCATCATCCTTCAAGTAAGCTTTTGTTGAATCATTATAGACTAGGACATCCCTAATTTCGAACTCTTAAAATATTGTTTCCCAATTTATTCCAAAATCTTAATCCTGAGTCAATTCAATGTGAAGTTTGTGAATTCTCTAAACACAAGCGTGTACCCTTCCCTAGTAATAATAAACGAATATCAGTTCCTTATGTTTGGGGTCCCCAAATGTTCCCAAATTTCGTTGGTTTATTGTGTTCATTGATGACTGTACTAGAGTCTCATGGGTTTATCTTTTAAAACAAAAATCAGATGTTGGTTCTACCATTCAAACATTCTTTCATATGATCGAAAACCAATTCGGAATCAAACCCAAACAATTCCGTTCTGAAAATGCTCGAGATTACTTCAATCAAAAATTAACATCATTCTTTCAAAAAAATGGAGTCATCGATGTGTCGTCTTGCATGGACACTCCTCAACAGAATGGAGTGGCCGAAAGAAAAATTGGTCACATCCTTTCTGTGACACGTGCCATTCTTTTTCAAAGAAATATTCCTAAATCCTTATGGGCGGGGGGGGGGGGGGAAACTGTGTTAACAACCATTTATTTAATCAATCGGTTACCATTTGCTACTCTAGAACATAAAACTCCTATGAATATTCTATCAAAATATTATCTTGATTTTCGAACAACAAATAACTTGACTCCTCGAGTATTTGGTTGTGTAGCCTTTGTTCATGTTCACAGTCATCA